TATTAATACGTACTAGTATAGTTGACAGCATAAGCACTTTTTCGTACCTCATTAGTGAAAACGATGCATATCACACTCATCAGCACGTCGTCACAGATGTGTAACAAAGACCTGCCTGAACAGACCGAGAATTTCCTGGAAGAAGCAAGGGGGAGGCTGCTAACTAAGCAGATTTTAGAGCTGTGTGGCTGTGTCTGACTGTTTTATGAATCAGGGCCCGTGTGTGTGTGTGTGTATATATATATATATATATATATATATATATATATATATATATATATATATATATATATATATATATATATATATATATTCATATTCGCTTGACTGATAAGTCATGGCTGAAAGTACCATTGACTGATTTTTTGTGAGAAAAAATATCGTTCGTTGGCTGAAAAAATACGGCTTATAAGTCAAGCGAACATGACGATATTGTCTAGATTGTGCCAACTGCAACACCATATATTGCATATACTAGTTGTTAGTAGAAATAAAGTAGAATGTTAAAAGAGCAATCAAATAATAGGTCGAAATTAAAGAACTATAAAATATTGGTAAAAAGAAACATGCATCTTACTATTACTAATTATTGAATCTTTTACAGTATCCATGCGGAAAAAAGAGAGAGAAAATCTAGAAAGTTCCAAAAACCATTCGACCAATGATTTTGTACAAGATGAGTTTAAAGTTCAATTTTTTTGTGGATTTATATATGGAGGTCATTAGAAAAATGCATTAAGAAAATTTCATCTTTCTTTCATAGCTTAGTAGCATCTATTACAAAATTAACCCTAGAGGTACAAAACATAAATAGTGATGATTTAAAAAAAATATTATCTAATATAGAATATCATGTCCTCTATTTGAACATAAAACTTAGGTGACAAGAGAAAAATGAATATCATTAGTAGCTACTCCCTCAATCTCCAAAAATGGATTCCTAAAATCACACAAAGTCAAATTATCTTAACTTTAACCATCTTTATAGTAAAGGGTAAATATTTATGACATCAAGTATTAAAAAATATTTTATGATGTATCTAGAGATACTAATATGATGTCATAAATATTGTTGATCTTTTCTATACATTTGGTTAAATTTAAAATAGTTTGACTTATGATAACTATAGAAATTGATTTGATTTGGGACGGAGAGAGGTAGAATTGAAATAGTTTAGGAAGAAATTTGGGCCAAACTTTTGTTTAGGCTTCATATGGACAAATTAAATTGTTCAAATAGTAAAATAGATTTTTTTATCCTAGTCTGTCTATTTCTTAAAGCGGATGCACACACGCACAAAGTAGTGAGCCAGCCTGCTAGAACGAGAGCCCAAGGAGCCCGTGCCCCGTGGTCCAGGAGGAATGTTCCATCTTTACCACCTACTCTTTGTTGGATGGGCCGATTTTTATTCAAGTACACACGATCAATCCAGTTTATAGCCCAGTTACACATCGTTTGGATGCCATGGTTTAAAGTTTAGTTTGCCTAAAAGCATACTTGTATTGTATGGTCTAATGAACTAACGATATTAAAAGTTTAGCTGTGTGGTCTAATAAATTTTAGAGTATTTTAGCACACTTGTGTGGTCTAATGAATTAATGATATTTTTTGTGTGGTTGCCTAACTTTATTACACAATATTTTAGATTATCTGTTTAGAGCCTTCGGACCTAAATTTAGTGGCAAAACTTTAGACCATGGAATCTAAATAGATCTTTATATTTTTTTTCGAAAAAAAACTATTTTATCTAAAAGGGGAAAAAGAATCTCAATAACCTGATTTATATGGCCTATTTTTAGATAAAGAAAATTATTTGGGATTCAATCTCATAAAAAACAAGGCATCAGTCCAATATTATTTAAAAAAGGTAGCCACCGCTACAAAACTCACTCACAATAATTCTAAATATATCATGGAAAAGAGTCCGACATTATAGACACACAACTATTCGTGGGAGTAAAAAAAAATGCATTGGTCATGCTCAGCCAGTAGGTGGAATTTCTTTTTCCGGTACGTGTCAATGGAGATATATCTTTATCACTAATTTATATATAGTTTGGCCAAAATCCACGAGTAGGGAAAGTGCTCCCTTCATTTTCAGAATACGTTATTTGACTACCCAAAATCATGGTTCAACTAATAATTAATCCATTAATATGTAAATTATGGATCTCAGGCCTACCGGTCACCTCGACGATAGTTGTTGTCGTCCATAGTTGGCCACATACTGCATATTGTTGCTACCGTGGTGAGCGTGGCCACTGCCCAGTCACCACAGTCACAGTCCCTATAACAATTAATCACGGCAGCGACTGGACCGACTATGCCTCTATGGCGGTGCTTGGTCAAAGCGTTTCACAATGGGCTGTCGTGTATTGGATTGGCTATGGTTCATGAGGATTGACGCTGTGGTGACTGCCCACGCTTGGCACTAGCCATGATCGCTGCAATAGCGACAACCTACAGTCGGTGACCAAGTATGGATGGCAGCTTTTGAGATGGTGTTCGGAGCAAAGACTAAAAAAAAACGATTTTCAGAGACAGGATGGTATTTTAAAGGCGGATCAATACAGAGACGTCTATATAGTAGCCTCCAAAATAAGTCGCCTCTGAATCCAGCCGCAGTATAAAAATGCTCATATTTTTACAGCCGTTTCTAGGAATTGATTGTTAGAGACAGGCTCTATTTCTAGCGCCTCTAAATTCGAATTTTCAAACGCCCTTATATGTGGAAAGGACCAAAACGAAAGTTGTAGATCTTGAAAAATTATGCAACTTTGTAGTTGTCAACTTTTTCATTTGAATTCAGTCATGCATGGAAAATTACGTTTGAATTTCACATTTGAAATTCGAATTTTTCAAACGATCTCGGATGAGGAGGAACGACCAAAATGAGTTGAACGACTTTGTAGTTAACAACTTTTTTTTCATTCCAAATCATTTATGCATGGAAAATCACATTTAAATTTCCTCACATTTGAAATTCGAATGTTTCAAATGACCTCGGATGGAGAAATAAACAACCAAAATAAAAGTTGTAAATCTCAAAAGTTAAACAACTCTTGTAATTGCATTATAGAACGGTCAACAAACTACGTCCACCGAAAAACGAAGGGGAGTACGGTTTAATTTTGTTGGAACACAGTTCGCTCCTATCAAAGTGTCAATGATACTAGTAGTTCATATCGGGAAAAGAAATTCAGTACGAACCATCCCTACGGAAACACGGTGGAGATGTGCCGCATGCTAAAAATAGTATCGTGGCCCACCTACCAGCAGCACAGTCCGCACGGCGTCCTGTCCTGGTAGGGATGGTGCTCACATAATTTTTTTTCTTCGTATCGGGGGTACCAAACTACCATGTGGAATGAGACGACGGGCACATGGATACGACACGACGAACCCTTTCTGCCGGCCGGCCGGCCGGACGGACGGGCCCCCCATCGACCTGTCTTGCCTTGACCACTTGCGAGATACAGATCGCCCTCTATATAATAATATGCTGTGCTCCTAACCAACAGCCATCATGATGATGCTGATGCAGATGCAGAGCCAGCAGCCATACAAGGCCAGGGAACAAGCAGAGCCAGCAGCCATACAAGGCCTAAGGAATATGCATGCATGGCAGAAATATCTGTAGATTTTAACTGATAAGCCGACTGATAAATTCAAACGAACGTACCCACCATGATGCTGATGCAGATGCAGCCCGCGGCGGCCGGCCGGCCGGCCAAAGTAGCAGCGTCAGCCAACAACAACAGGCGTGCATGTATATATAAATGATCATGCATTACATGGTGTACAACGTACTGCTAGTAGTTGAGAGTGAGACGAGACGGGCATGCATTATTCATGGTACAGTGCGCGCCAAATCTGTTGCTGAGTTATGGGGCGACATGTATATGGGCACCTACTCATGAAGTCGATGGTAGGAACGAGCTAGCTAGGGACACCATTATTCCATTCTCTTGTACAGTGCCAGCTTGTGCCAAATCTGTTTGCGCATGATGTCCGCTATCACCTATGGTGCGTGGTGATGTTTGGTGCTTGCATAGTTGCATTGTATATGGAGCAGCCAGCCGGCCTAACAATCTCACCAGCATATAGGAATATACTTGACATACAGTTTCGCACGTAGCACAACAACCTCATAAAATTCCAACATATGGGACCTGTTTGGAATGCGGGAAAATTTGAAATTGAACTGATTCATGTGAAATTCGTGCGCAATTCCTATGAAATTCCTGCGTTCCAAACATGACCTAAACATGTTTCTGCTCTTATGTATAAAATCAAATTAACAAACCAAGATCAAGATGCTCGATCTGAAGATGACCAAATTTTAATAGCACATCCCCTTATCACTTACACACACACACAATATATATATATATATATATATATATATATATATATATATATATATATAACTACTTTGAGTTACGATAATTATATGCTAATAGAACTACAATACTCATTGCTTTGATTTACTATAACATAATTACTATGCTAATTTGCGAGACTATAGTAACTCCTTGCTAAGTGATTTACTATAACATTATGGTAAATATCACCGTGAGTTATAGTAACACGAGTATCGTAAATGCATATTCATGTTATCGTAAATTGGTACAAACATTATCGTAAATCAAGGTGGCCATAGAATAAGCTGTAGAATAACCTTTTATATATATATCCTCATAATTTCGTGAATGACATTTTCATTCATGTAGGTTCATCATTCATCAAGCACAATGCTCAAATTAGAGAGCGAAACACACTAGTCTTACATAGCTTCTGGTATCTATCTGATCATTTTTCAGTGTTCCCAAGAAGCAAGAAGGCAAGAACGTCAACGGAGCAATTAATACTGTTGAGACGATGGACGGAGGTGATCCGATTCCTCCATCAGCAGAAGAGCACCACCATCCTTTTTATCTACACCTTAATAATATTACAATTATATAATAAGGTTTGATCAGATTGACACCTCTGTTTCTTATCTTGCGGTTCCTCGCACGACCGGAGGCCTGGGATCTGCAGCGGCGACGAGCCGGCGGGGGTGGAAGGCGCCGTCAGCGACGACATCCATGGCGCTCTTGCACCCGTGCATGTCGAGGAAGGCCACGAGCCCGCCGCCGCCGCCGGCGATCCACCACCGGCGCTCGGCGCGCCCGGATGACACTCCTGCTGGCTTCGCCGGCACCGGCCACAGCTTGTTCTTGGTGTCGTCGTCGTCGGCATCGGCATCGTCCGCGGCGGCGTAGTCGTCGTCGTCGTCCCTGGTGCACTCGGCGAAGGCGGCGAAGAAGGGGTCATCGTCCCTGGCGTCGGAGGACGACGACGCGGCCGGGGCCCCGGCCTTCGCGGGCTGGCGCCGGCGCCGGCGTCGAGGGGCCGCCGGGCGGAGCAGCGGAGGCGGCAGCGGAAGCGGGTTGCCCGTAGGGGAGTCGCGCCCGCCGCGGAACGAGTTCTTGGGCACGCCCGGGTGGCGCTCCCATGAGAATGGAACCAGCGAGGTGGTGCTTGCGCGCGGGGGGCGGCGGCGACGGCGACGGGCAGAAGAAGGTCGACGACGCGCTGGAGATGGAGGAAGAGGAGGAGGAGGAGGAGGAGGAGTGGGAGCTGCGGTGGCACCCGCGCCCGCGACGAGGTGCGGCTGGCGGCGACGACGGGAGAGACAGCGGAGGCGGCGGCAGCGGCAGTGGCTGCGGTGGTGGTGCGTGGTGGTGCTGAGATGCTCGCATGGCTTGGTTTGTGTTGGGGAATCGGAGAGGTGCGTTTGCTGTAGTTTCCGGCGGGCAGTTGGGGTCAGCTGGGCGTGTGGATAAATACCGTTGGAGTATTTGCAGAAAGGCCCCTTAGATTTGCATCCATGTAATTTTTAAGATTTTGTATCCATGGCTTTGGTTAAAACTTTTACAAAAGCAGCCAATATTTCTTTCTTAAACAATTTGCACTCGGCTCATTTTCCTTATTCGGTGAAATTTTTATGCTAGTGCTTAAATTCACTGAACTTATATATAATAAATGAAGAGGACGGTGGCTTGGTGTGACAATTTATTTACTTTTGAACTAAAATTCATCATAAATTTATTAGTTTGCATAAATGGCCTTGTTTTGTCTGCTAATAAATCTTAGCCACATGCCCAAAAAAAAAGGATTCGTATTCGTATATGACTAAATGGCTCACCTCTCACCAAGGGTTTATGAATGAAAAAAGTTGCTTCCATTGACGAGAGAAAAAAAAACTAGCTCTAAAAATATAATACCAGAGCAGTGAAACGGTGGTATCTGAAAATGGATTGAAAGTAGTTTAAAATAGGGACAATATTGCACCTAGGTTGTCGCACTAGACAGCCCCAAGTCGCTAGTCACATAATTTTCCGTGTGCATGCATTTTGTTAGATTTGAAAAATTGTCGACTCTCTAAGTGTGTAGCACCCTTACAGCCTCACCACAAAACCACTTCTTCACTAGATGAGGAATACTATTAGGACGTGTTTGGGACTGCTTCGCTCCATGTTTTTTAGCCAAACGGTTTCAGCTCCATGCACTCTATTCGAGGAAAAATGGTAGAGTTATGTGAGCACCTAAAGTGATGCTCCACAAACTCCAATTTTTTGTGGAACTGCTCCACAGTGGAGTTTATGGAGCAGTCCCAAACACCCTCTTATTTTGACCTAACATCTTCAAGTCTGGTGTTGCGTATATGACATTGTAAGCACACTTAAATTAAGAAGTCCTCACCTACAAAGCTTTAGACCTCATCAAGCACTACAACTTTTGATGTGACCATGTCTCCGTCTGTGGTTGTTTGAAAAAATCAAAAGTTTAATTTGTGTGCCCGCGTTCGCAGAGTGAGTTTATGTGTATGTTTGTAGGTGTCGAATTCGCAAAAAAGGGAACATACACACAAGAGGGGCCACATGAGGTTGACGTTCACTTCTAACCGGATTGACTACTGACGGTCCTGTAATCTGTAAACCAAACAACCGTATCGACATCGTTCTCCTTTAGCCACTCTCAACAATTCTAACATCTATATCGTGAAATTACATTAATTAAATAATCCACAATGTATTTCTTCTGTCTCTATATATCTTAATGTTCTCCTTTAGCCACTCAACATTTCTAACATCTGCATCGTGAAATTACATTAATTAAAGAGTTAAATGCATTATTGGTCCATTAACTTTTGCCTATATTTCACTTAGGTCCATCAACTGTAAAAGTGGTTTTTCGAGTCCTTAAACTTTTTAAGCGATGCATCTCTGGTTCATAGCCCTTTGTTTCTATTTTTAACATGATGTGGCTGTCCACGGTGGCGCTGACATGCCTTGGAGCCATGGGGCTGGTTGATGGACCTCCTGGCACCGGTCGTGCTCGCCTGCGCCGTCTGCGGTAGGAAGCGGCGGGCCGCCGAGCTGGTACCGACGTGCGGGCGTGCGGCAAGGTGCTGCCGCTGCCACTGCCACCGGGCCGGGTCGATGGGTGGCCGTGCGGGCGTGCGGCAAGGCGCTGCTGTCGGCATCGGAAGCGCAGGAGCAGCACGACGTCAGCAGCATGGCCGTGGAGATGCTACCACCTAATGCCACAACCTTGCACCAGCCAAGCTTGAGCCTTGGTACTAGCGTTGCGTCGTCACCAATGACCTCGCACCTCACAGCCGGAGTTTGGGCAGCCCAAGAAACACAAGTCTCCAGAGAATACGGCTCCTGGACAGAGTAGACATCAACAAAAGGGGGGAGGCGGGGAGCGAGCTGCGTCAGATCGAAGGCGAGCGAGAAGGGGAGTGGCAGGGGCACCGCAGCAAGTCCGGACAGGGAGGTGCGGTGGGCGGAGCAGCTGTTGAACGTGTGGGTGGCCGCCATCGAAGTGGGGAACATGCCGGGCACGCAGCACCTGCTGTACGTGCTCGTCGAGCTGGCCTCCTTCTCCGGCGAACCGAACCACCGACAGGCCGCGCATGGGCTGCACGCCCTCACGCGACGCCTCCCACGCCGTGCGCCAAGCGGCTAGCTTGTGAGTGCCCAACGCCGGTGTTCTCCGACCCCGACCGGCGGCTGTTCCGAGCCTCGCCCATAAAGTTCATCTAGGTCAGCCCATCGTTCGGCGAACGCGCTCGCCAACTCCGCGATTACGCAGGCCGCGTTGACGAAAGGTGCGGTGACCGAGCCCCGTCAGGTTCATGACGTGGACATCGGCGTCTCGCATGGTGTCCGATGGACAACACTGCTCGAGGCGCTCACCCGCGTGCCGTGGGGCTCCACGCCGCCCTCCGTCCGCCTCACGGTCGTTGGTCCCGCGGCCACACCTCCCGTGCCCTTCTCTGCATCTCCTCCAGGCTACGACTGCTCACCGCACCTCATCTACTGCTCCGCCACCGCAGGAGCAGCACCTCATCTACTGCATCTCCTTGCTGCACGCCACCGCCGGGCGCCGGCGTGGCAGCCTGCCGTGGACGGTGCAGGCGAGCACCACCAGTGCCCGGAGGTCATCAACCAGCCCTCATCTACTGCTCACGTGAGCCACAACTGCCTCCAAGGACATGTCAGCGCCACTATGGACAGCCACGTCGGATTAAAATCAGAAACAAAGGGGTATGAATTGTTAGCTAATCTACTACCACCTTGTGAGAACACAGCAGAGGAAGACGGTGCCGACTTAGCTGCCTGCTGTGTGTGAACACAGCAAGGGAAGGCGACGCCGACTTTGCCCCCTCGCCGTGATACAAGAGTCAGCAGTAGGTGCAGGGCGCCAGACGGCTCACCTACAACCTCAGAGAACAGCGATGGGCCGCGCAGAGTCAGCCTGTCGTTATCTAGTTATCGTGTGCCGGCATAGGCATATGGACTGGACTAGATAGTTAGAGTTGTATAAATAGACATGTATGGCAACTCGAAAGAGAGCTCGATTTGCCATCACACGTACGGGGCTTCGCCAACGCCATTGCCTTGTATTGTGCGCATTTGCTCTGTTCTCCCTTCCTCTTCTAGCTCGATCCGTGTGTGTGGGTACGGACAACGCCGTCTGACGTGGTCCGCACGGCTAGTGGGTGCTCGGCAACACTAGCGCGCGCGTTTCGGCGAGACCGACAAGTGCTCCACTCGTCGAGCCGGTGGTCGGTAAGATCGGCTGGAGTGGTTCACTGTCGTGAGCCGGTGATCCTGTGAGACCAACGGAGTGGTCTGGAGATCATCTCGGTGGTCGGGAGGGCTAACAAGTGGTATCGGAGCCGTACAAGCGCCGTCGTCATTCTAACCGATGGCGATGACAGGCGGTTCGGAGTTGGGCGACGGCAGTGGCACTGTCGTGGCTGCCCAGCCACTACCGGAGGTAGTTGTTCGCACGGTGCGGGAGGTCAGCGGCACCACTTGGCCGACGCTGACTCGCACTAACTATGGAGAGTGGTCGGTGACCATGAAGGTCAAGCTCAGAGCCCGTCGGCTCTGGAATGCTTTGCTGACAAGGGCACCGACGTGGAAGAAGACGACATGTCGTCGGCCGATGGAGGCTATACTCGCTGCTTGTACCGCGGAGTATAGGGAACCGTTGGGGACGAAGAGCTCAAAGAAAGGAGGCGTGGGAGGCCATTGCGGCGATGCGCGCGTCGGTTCCGACCGCAAAAAGAAGGCAACGCCCGGCTTCTGCAGCGAGAGTACGCAAACCTCAAGTTCAAGGATGGTGAAACGGTGGAGGACTTCTCCTCCGCTGCGCAGACGCTCATCGCCAAGTCAAAGAGCCACGGCGTCACCATCGACGAAGAGGAGGCGGTCTCTCAAGTTCCTCCACTCCGTCTTGAAGCAAAGTACATCCAGATCGCTCTATCCATAGAGACGATCTTGGACTTGTCCACCCTCACCATCGAGGATGTGGTAGGCCGTCTCTGGGCGGTGGACGAGCGCTGGAGCAAAGCGACAAAGAACGAAGACGCTGGAAACTCCTGCGCGACGGAAGAGGAGTGGGCTGCTCGGCGAAACTCCGGGAAGGCAGCCTCCTCCAGTCGCGGTGGCAACGGCAAACATCGCGGCAGGGCTTCTTCGGTGAAGAAGCAAATCGACTCCAACGCCTGTCGGTGTTGCGGGAAGATGGAAAAGAAGGCTCAGGCTCACCTGGCGAAAGCCGATGATGAGGATGAGGCTACTATCCTTATGGCGATGTTCTGTGCACTGCACGACGTCGAGGCCATGGAGAGGGAAGAGGCGACGACGGTGGAAGGATCTAGCAAGGCCCTGAAGACCGTCAACCTCGACGAACCACTCGCCCAAGTCCATCTTGGGCATGTGGGCGTCGACCAGGAGCAGCGGTGGTATCTGGACTCTAGTGCCAGTAACCACATGACGGGCTCCAAGGACTCCTTCTCCAAGCTCGACGGCGATGTTACCGGTACGGTGAAGTTTGGTGACGGCTCAAGGGTGGCTATCCAAGGGCGCGGCACCATCATCTTCAGATGCCAGAATGGAGAGCACCGCGCGCTAACAGATGTATACTACATCCCATAGTTGCGTTCCAGCATCATCAGCATTGGTCAGCTGGATGAGCGCGGTAGCGAGGTTCTGATCAAGGACGGCGTTCTGAGGATCAGAGACCGGGAGCAGCGACTTCTCGCCAAGGTGAAGAGGTCCCTGAACCGGTTGTACCTGCTCGACCTGAAGGTAGAGCAGCCGGTTTGCCTGGCGGCAAGGCACTCCGAGGAACTGTGGATGTGGCATGCCCGTTCGGACATCTCGGCCGACGCCGCTTTGGTCGGGGGGAAGATGGTCCGAGGGCTACCCTATATCAAACATAGAGGCGAACCGTGTGACATACCGCTGGCCGGAAGCGAGAGGAGGCTACCTTTCCCAAAGGCGGCCAAGTATCGCGCGAAGGAAGCTCTCGAGCTAGTTCACGGCGACCTCTGCGGGCCGATCACGCCTGCTACATGCGGTGGTCGGCGGTACTTCCTCCTACTCGTGGACGATTGCAGTCGCTACATGTGGCTGCAACTCCTGACGAGCAAGGACGAAGCGGCGGTGGCGATCAAGAAGTTCAAGACGCGCGCGGAGGCCGAGAGCGGCAAGAAGCTCCTCGTACTGAGGACTGATCGGGGTGGCGAATTCACTTCGGTGGAGTTTGCTACGTACTGCGCGGATCAAGGTGTGGGGCAACATCACACCGCGCCGTACTCGCCACAACAGAATGGCGTGGTGGAGCGACGGAACCAGATAGTGGTCGGCATGGCCCGATCCATGATGAAGGCCAAAGGGATGTCGGCAAAGTTCTAGGGAGAGGCGGTGACCACGGCGGTGTTCATCCTCAACCGCGCTCCAACCAAAGCCCTAACGGGCAAGACGCCGTTCGAAGCTTGGTACGGGAGCAAGCCGAACGTGTCATTCCTCCGGACATTCGGTTGCATCGCCCACGCCGGAAGACGGGCCGAACCTCACCAAGCCGGAGGGCATGAGCACACCCATGGTGTTCCCAGGCTACGCGGAGGGTACCAAGGCGTCCGGCTCTATGACCCACGCGAGACAAGGTGACTATCTCTCACGCGACGTTGTGTTCAACGAGGAGGCGCCTTTGGGACCGGCACAGTCCGAGCACGGGGAAGCGGGAGGCTTCACCAACACCTTCGTCGCCGAAAGCACTTGGTCATCCACGGCGGTGGAGACGCTGCGAACAGTGCCACACGACCGGGAGGAGCGCCGAGCACTCCACTCGGTAGAGTCGAGCACTTCGGGGCAATCTTTGAGCACTTCCGGGAGGGATGCCGAGCACTCCGAGAAGAGTGTCGAGCACTTCGAGGAATTCCGAGCACGCCAGAGTGGAGCCGAGCGGTTCTCTGATGGGCGGCGACCACTTTAGGACGGGTACCGAGCACTCCGTGGCGGAGCCAAGACGTCTTCTTGTGGTTTCGACCACTCCAAGATCGAGGGCTGGGCACTCCTACAATATGGCCGAACACCGCAGGGAGTTATGACGAAAGCGATCCGTAAGCGATGCCGAGCACTTCGGGTGCTATCAC